TATCTATATGTATTGTAATGGTGTGTAGTTAGTAAGGTTGGATTATCTATATGTATTGTAATGGTGTGTGGTTAGTAAGGTTGGATTATCTATATGTATTGTAATGGTATGTAGTTAGTAAGTTTGGATTACCTAAATGTATTGTAATGGTGTGTAGTTAGTAAGGTTGGATTATCTATATGTATTGTAGTGGTGTGTCGTTAGTCAGGTTGGATTATCTATATGTATTGTAATGGTGTGTAGTTAGTAAGGTTGGATTATCTATATGTATTGTAGTGGTGTGTCGTTAGTAAGGTTGGATTATCTATATGTATTGTAATGGTGTGTGGTTAGTAAGGTTGGATTATCTATATGTATTGTAGTGGTGTGTCATTAGTAAGGTTGGATTATCTATATGTATTGTAATGGTGTGTGGTTAGTAAGGTTGGATTATCTATATGTATTGTAATGGTGTGTGGTTAGTAAGGTTGGATTATCTATATGTATTGTAGTGGTGTGTAGTTAGTAAGGTTGGATTATTTATATGTATTGTAATGGTGTGTGGTTAGTAAGGTTGGATTATCTATATGTATTGTAATGGTGTGTGGTTAGTAAGGTTGGATTATCTATATGTATTGTAGTGGTGTGTAGTTAGTAAGGTTGGATTATCTATATGTATTGTAATGGTGTGTAGCTAGAAAGATTGGATTATCTATATGTATTGTAGTGGTGTGTAGTTAGTAAGGTTGGATTATCTATATGTATTGTAATGGTGTGTAGTTAGTAAGGTTGGATTATCTATATGTATTGTAGTGGTGTGTGATTAGTAAGGTTGGATTATCTATATGTATTGTAGTGGTGTGTAGCTAGAAAGATTGGATTATCTATATGTATTGTAATGGTGTGTAGTTAGTAAGGTTGGATTATCTATATGTATTGTAATGATGTGTAGCTAGTAAGGTTGGATTATCAATATGTATTGTAATGGTGTGTGGTTAGTAAGGTTGGATTATCTATTTGTATTGTAGTGGTGTGTAGTTAGTAAGGTTGGATTATCTATATGTATTGTAATGGTGTGTAGTTAGTAAGGTTGGATTATGTATATGTATTGTAATGGTGTGTAGTTAGTAAGGTTGGATTATGTATATGTATTGTAATGGTGTGTAGTT